AAAATAAAGAAAACATGGAAATTACCGCAAGCATCATTACTTAGTATGTGTCAGCAAAGTTTTCCAGGTCATTGAAATAAATCAAAGTGCTACAAACCTTCCACTGCAATAACCTCAAAAACAACATGAATGTTCTGATCAAATGACTAGTAAATCTGTTACCTTCACAGATAAAACATAAAATGTCTCTTCCAGTTGAGCAACATCGTCAAACTAAATCTTTTTTTTTTTAAATCCAGTTTGCATTCTGTTTAAGCCTCCCGTTAAAATGATGCTGAAAGAAGAAAATACAGTTTACTTGATTTACATGACAGCAAAGATCTGTTTTTACGGGGAAACTGTACCTATCCCCTATAGACCGATTTCATCATCAAACTCATCTTCAAATGTGTAGCCTCGTCCCTCCTCTTCCTCCTCCTCTGTATCAGTCTCTGAGTGGCCGCTGTCAACCCTCCTCCTGTCCAATGAGGTGACTCCTTCGTACTCTGAGCTATGTGACGAAGCCGGACTAGGTGGCAAATCTACTTTGTGATTGGTGACCTCGGTTTCACCTCCACCTACTACACTCTCACCCCTCGTTGGACTACGAACCACCAGCTGCTCCTCATCCTGGAAGTCAAACCCTTGACCCTCTTCCTCTTCAGATGCCTGGCGAATTATCTCCTCTCGTTTGTCACTGAATCGCACTTTTGGTCGTAACCCCTTGGGCTTGAACCCGTTCCCATCTGCTATCCTGCTGTCTCCCCCTTGGTTTCCATCCAACCCCACCAAGTTCTTCCCATTCAGTTCGTTCTGCATGTTTACAGACTTCTCCATAACCCCTTTTCCCTGCTGTGCTTCCACCAGGGATGTGCCACTTTTGGGGTTGAACACATCTTCCTCATTGGAGTCAAACCCCAAACCGTCCATTATCCCGAGTACATCCCCCAGCATAGACGGGCCTAGATCCAGATCCATGTCGAAGGAAGACACTGACTCAGAGTGCTTGAGCTCGTAGTCCTGTGGGCTTCCTGGAGCGTCAGTATGGAGCTCACTGTGGTTGACTTCCACCTGAGAATCACCAGCTGGCGTCATCCCTGAACCCTCCGGGTCAGGACTGGCCGAGCTCGGGCCAAGAGTGGACAGGAAGGAGGTGTCCCCAAAGGCATCGCCTCCTCTGCCAATGTGCATGGTGTGGCGAAAGTCCCCCAGTGGGGCTGAGATCATGGTGGGGTCCAGGCGAGGTGCCCGGGTTGATTTGTGCAGCGGCATGACTGTAGACAGATTGAGGTAAGAGATGAATATGGGGGCTAAATAGGGCGAAGATTCTTATTTACAATGAGCAATAACCCATCAATGAGATAACATAGTGTAATACAGACATTTTGCAGGATAAACTGAAATACTGAAGCCCCAGTCCTGCCTCATGATAAGACAGGGCAGCGTCAACACTTAGCCATGTTGTGCAACATTGCGGGACACCAATGAGCTTTTTGGCACTGGAGCGGCTGTGAAGGCCATGCTGAGACTTGTACTTGAAACATACTCATGCAACGCTAGCACATACTTTTCTCTCCCCTCAGGGGTGTATGCGGATGAAAACAAGACTGTAACTTTCTCTACAAAAAAAAAGAATATATGACACCAAATCTATTTAGCTGTTCTGCTTTGGTGGGCATTTAATATAGATCTCAGCATTAAAAAAAGTAACATTCCAAGTTAATAATAATTACAGAATGTAAAGCCAATATTACCTCATACATATGACAAGTTTTTCAGGCTAGCTCACCTTAATGACAATATATCAATCATACATTAAAAAAGAAACTGAAAATTAGAAGACCTTATTTTGAGTGTATGTGAGAGTTAGTTTTGGGAGGGGAGGGGGCTTGCTTACAGGCCTACCCCTACTACCAGAACTTTCCATTAATAGTTAAAGTAAATTGTGTATTGAATTGGTTAAATACAGCTATAATTTATAACCTAAAAGTAGAGCACTCGAGGGTTACATACTTATTGACAAAGCAGTGACCGCTTGGATCAATGTAAAACTGATCAATAGACTTGAGTGAGCGGCAGCGACTCTTTAAAAGTGTGTAAAACTTACTTTAAAGGGAATACTCTGGTCTTTGGTTGGCTCGCTCTTCAGTATCCAACTTTTTCATCTGGCTTTTTGACTTTAGCTTCCCTCTCGACTTTTCCCTCGCTCTTTTTCTCGCCGTCGTTTGTCGGTGAGAGTTTTCTTTTTTTCCTTCCAAAGGGATGGGCATGGGCTGAGGAAGTGACGCGACGGTTATTGGGGAGAGCTGGATTAAAATATCTGTGTCGACTTTAGAAGACGCTGTTACACTCAAACGAGACCAACAGCCTCTCTCAACACACTGCGAGACAGAGTAGATATTCAATGTAACGTTATAGCTGTGAGCCACGTGTTTATTAATCAAGCAACAACATGTTAACTGGAGGAACATGTGTATCGAAATGTAACTAAACTGTAGCCTACTAACCTCAACTAGTCTTTTTCAATTAACACGTGAAATTATGAAAGAGCTTAATATTTCATTAGCCTATTTTTTTCTATTTAGAAAAATAACCAAAACGATTACAAGCATTGTGATTATTATCTGGCTATATTATATAGCCTATAGGTTTGAAAATCAGGTTGGAATTGGATTGACACACAATGCTAAACTGTTACCCTGAATATATTTAGTTTATGTTGATCTATAGAGGAAACCATAAAGTTGATCCCAATACTGCCACTAATAACAAATTATTTTCTAAAAGAGTTAAATTATTTGGGATTCACTTTTGAAAAAAACATTTAAAGCCTGGTAGCATAGGCTACATTTGTATCAAAAATGTGTACACATTGCAACTCTGATCAATGACACATTTAAAATATAGAATATATTGTATTTAAATATATAAACTAAACACAACCCAAATTAATTGTCTCAGCGTTGTCTCTTCTCCTGTATTTGGTGCTTTACACAGATATGCTGATTACACAGATATGTCCAGGAAACATCCATGGAAATTATAGAAATAAAATGTTGAAAATGAATGCTGGAATCAGACTAAAATATGTGAATGAATGTAAACTCCCTAATATTTAAAAAAATAAATGCTTACATTCCTAGAAGAATATCTTAAAATATTAAATGTAAAAAATAGGTTTTCACGTTCATGCTACACAAGTACACATTTAGATTCACCAAATAATTACAGAAGGGTTTGACTTATATACATACATATACTTATAATAGACTGAAGTCTTGAAGGAATGCAGTTGGTGAAGTTAACCCTGCTGTATTGCACCACTTAGCTGTCAACAACATCGTTTTGTAAACTTTTGCATAATTAACTCAAATTATTTAACCCCCACAATCATTCACTCTCAAAACCAATTAGTAAGGAATCCTTTTTAAAACAGAAAACTAGAGAGAGCCTGGATTTGGATGAACAACATAAGTGGAGTAGAGATGCTATTTCAGAGTTCAGCTTCCTCTCATGGGTTAAAGAAACAGAAGCATTACCAAACCCCAGGTATTAAAACAATGGTGGAGGGTAGTGAGTCATTGTTCCTGAGATCGTGTCACAGATGCTCGACATTTTTGTGTGATGATGTAGCTGAACAGCACAACAATGAGAACACGTTATTCATTTAACAGACACATTATATCATGCACTGTGAGAAATTGTCTAGAAATGTTTACCAATTACTGTTTCATTTACTTGGAAGCTTTGCATTCTGACGCCAGGCCACAAATACAACAAATACAAAAAATGTATGTTGATTTTTTTCAACATCATGGAATTTATTGTACAGTGTATCAGTATTAAAATGCAATACAACTCAAAAGTGCTAAATAAAACGTTATAAATCATAGAAATTCGTTGAATGAGTGTTTTGTTTTGGTACTGAAATGGATTGTATCTCTATGAAGACATTGTGAGCCCTGTAGTTTGTGGCTGCACTGCACATGAACCCTCAAACAGTTGCAGAGAGACCTCCAAAAACCATGAATGATTTGAGGGATAAGGAGTGGGAGAGAATTTGTGACAGGATATGACTCCCCTCTTTGTAATACAGTCGTAGAACACACACATACAACACACACACAAACACGTCCTGCAGCTGTGTGCTTCACAGGAAGATAAAGTCCCTGATGAGTGAGAATGCCTAAAATCTATGAATTTGAATAACACAAGGTAAAAACATAGATTATGTCTCTGTGACTGGGTAAAATTAAACCATCCTCACAAATATGGACAATCATAGTGATTTATGTTTTTAGATAGATAGATAGATAGATAGATAGATAGATAGATAGATAGATAGATAGATAGATAGATAGATAGATAGATACTAGATAGATACTAGATAGATAGATAGATAGATAGATAGATAGATAGATAGATAGATAGATAGAAAGGAATATGGAGGTATCTGCATCTGAATATTTAAAAAAAAACGTATGTTTTAACCTTATATAATTAAAGTATGTAGCTGTATATAGAGTTGTTAAATGGGCCTTACTTTTTCCAGCTTACTCTTTAGTGATGCTTATACATCAATGATCATTAAGCATTTAAGGATATAATATAGATTAGTGGTTATATATGAAATGGTCCAATTATATTTATATGCAAATACAATAATTAAAATAATATGTTTATCATAATACTTTTAGTACTTCAGATTTTGAATGCAGGAGTTATATTTCTACACTGCAGCATTTCTACTTGTACTAAAGTAAAATATCTGAATACTTCTTCCACATCTGCTAATTTATGACTAGAATAAAGTGCATTTCCTTAACGCTTCCAATTTAGGCAAAGTGAATAATTTTAGGGAGTTATTTCCTGTGTTGTGCCTGTCAGGCATTGACATCCAATCCCATGCTAAGGATTGAAATGTGATTGGTGGAGCCTGTAGGGGAGGTTGAGTAACAAGAGAGGAGGCTTTTCCTGAGAGAATTTACTCTGGGCACAAAAACACCTTACCGAACACCGTCAGTTGACTTATCTGCCATTTTGTATCTCTACAGCTTGTCAGACGAAGTTGGTCATCGACGAATAAGGAAGCAAATATGCGTTTATCCACTACATATGTTTGTTTGCGCCGTTAAATAAACCAAATTACAGTTTGACTTGTTAGGATATCTTGACATTAGACGCAGTCGGCTGACTGCTGTTCTTGTATCGTCGTGTCATCTTGTTTACGTTTTGCCTTAGCAGGAAAGCTAACGGCGTTAGCCACTTAGCTTAGCTAGTGACCAACGGTCCAAGCGTTAGCTTTCCAAAGCTAACTAGAGACTGCTGAAATGGCGGCCAACACGAAACAAACAACCCCTACAACAAACTGGTAGGTCGCCCTTTCTAGCAATAGGAAACTCACAACAAATGCCTGATTACATAAATATAATGTAGTTTAAATCTATAAGGCTAATACATGGTATGATATGGTAGACATAGCCTTCTATAATCTCACTATACTCTAAAATAACCTTTGCTCATCTGAGGGTGTTGACTAAAGATAGCATACCTAGCTACAACAGGCCATTGGTTTTGTTTACCGAAAGCTAACCAGTTTGCTTCTTAATGTGGACATTTTTATTGTTCAGACTGTACTTAATTATTATTTCGTTATGGACGATATGGTTTGGCGTAGCAATCTTTAATGTCAACATATTATCTTAGCGCTTCATGTTTGAACAGTAATGGCTTCCCGTTCACAGGCTAACAGTAACATGGAGAGCTGTTGGTAGGGTGATTAGCTAATGGTTAACAGTAGATGCAATAGAACGTTCCGTCAACTGCTAAGTGGGTCACAGTGAAAGTAACAGTTTGAACCTACAGTTGTTAACTGTTAGCTGTCGTACAAGCTACGCCTGTATAACGCAAGACCGAACGCGATACACCAAACCTGTTCAGTTAACACGTTGTACATTTGTTTTAATATCATGTTAGTTGTGTTATTAGATTATCACTGTTGTGATACCTAACCTCAATACTTGTAAACTGATCATATCAAAACGTTTGTATTCCTTCAACACAATTGTTCTTCTGTTGATGGCAGGTCCTTTGGTGGTGCTGGAGATGGCCAGGTTCACGAAAACCCAGAATGGGAGAAGGCAAGACAAGCACTAGCGTCCATTAACAAGAGTCAGAGCGCTGCTAAGAATGCACAAGCCAACCGGACAGCCACAGCAGAGGTGTGCTTTTAGCTCTGTGTCTCTATCTGTTATTTGAGTTGGCATTGTAATGCATGTTAGTTGATCTGCTGACAACCCGAGATCTACAAATATAAATATGGACACAAAACATCTAAATATCAAAAAAGAAAATAAGGTCCAGCACCATTTTGCCTGCTCATTTGCAGTGACTGCATTTGCATGTCCTGACTACATTAAACCATCATCCTGCATTTTTGGGCGTGCAAGTTTGTCCAGTAATCGTTGCGTCTCATATTCAGGAATCGTTGATAGTGTGGTTTACATCCAGGCATATATCTTGGAACCAAAAGTTAATTTGATGCAGTTGTAACACACTACAAACTTAATGTTACATAATAATCAGTATGAGTCATTTTTGGTATGTGATTTAAACGGATCCTTGATTTTTGTACTGGATTAAAATGACAATTCTATTTATGTATGTGTGTAATTTCAGGCCGGTCAGTTTCAGCCAGCAGTGACTGACTCAGCTGCCGTTCAGACACCGCAGCAGCCACCACCACCTCAGCAGCCACCACCACCTCAGCAGCAGCAACAGCAGCAGCAACAGCAGCAGCAACAACAGCAGCAGCAGCAGCAGCAGCAGCAGCAGCAGTACTATCCATGGTACCAGCAAACTCAGCAGCATTATCCTGGGTACACATACCCCTATAATTACTACTACCCCGTGGCTCCAGTAAGTACAGATCATGATTTGTTTCCTATCAATATTTTACAATAATAATATTTAATACAAATTCATTTACTGCATTAAACAATGTTTGCTACAAGGCTCATATCTCCTAAAATGGGGTTCTCTGTATTTTTAGTATGGAGCTGCATATCCACCAAATCAGTATGGTACACCCCCAGGGCCTTACCCAGGAGCTCCCACCCCTAATGGACAGGTATTGGAATTAGAAGTTCTTCACAGATCCCCTAATAACGTCACATGTATTATTATGGCCCTTATTTGGTAATAACAGTTTGAACATTTGGTGAAATTGACTTTGGGTGTAAGGCCCCAATCTTTTTTGTAGCTTCTACTACATTCTTATTCTTCAAATAGTTGCTGAAATAGCTTTTTCTGTTTTTCTTTTCAAAGCCTCCTCCAGTGCCTGGAATGGAAGACCAGTCCCCCGGCTACCCAGCTCAACCTCCTCCCCCTTCCACTACCCAACCCCCCCAGAGCCCTACCACCTCCGACAAACCACCTCTTCCTCCCCCCCCATCTATACCTCCACAATCCAACTCCCAGTACCCCCCTCCTCCATCACAAAATGCTTATGGTGGCAATAACTCCATGCAATACCCACCTGGTGACTCCAACCAAATGCAAGCTTATAATCATTCCCAGGGTAGGCCCAACTATGGACAGGGTTTTCAGGCCCAGAACTCCTATCAGCCCCCGCAGAATAACAAGCAGCAGCAGCAGCAACAACAACAACAACAACAACAACAACAACAGCAGCCAGGCCAGTATGCACCAGGGCTTGGCAGAGGTGAGGCCAACAAAAACAAAAACCAAAATCAAGGACAGCAGCTGTGGCACCGCATGAAACGTAAGATTTGCTCATCTGCATTACTTAACTGTTATTCTCTGATGCAGTTTACACATATATTGCTGTAATTACAGGCTTTTTTCAATTATAACTGAAAAATATCTTTGACAATACGGAAATACAATTCAAAGGTGTTTAGTATTAGATGGGCTGTAAAGTTTAAAGGTGAATCTGGGACCTATTGTGTAGTTCTACATTCCGAATCCAAACATCCAGACTTTTTATACTATATAAACAAAGTTTAATTATTCTGTATCTCAGTTCAGGTTCCACAATTTCCCCAGTGGTTATTTAGTTAGTTAAAGATGTTTGTCCAGACACACCATGACACTTCTAACTAATTTCCCGTTTCTGTTGTTTCTCACAGAGGCACCTGGTGCAGCTGCTATGAAGTTCAATATTCACAAGAGGCCTTATCAGGTTCAGTGTTCTCCAATTTCCAATCAGACTTTCCCTCCAGACGAGCAGCCCTCAGGATTAAATCCTACTCCTTCCTCCCTGGCTTCTGCCAGTTCCCCACCTGACGGTGCTCAGATGCGGTACGAACTGGTCTGTCTCAATAGATTAAAAAAGACTGAATCAGTTTAGAATATGTTGACTCAAGATGTTTTTCTCTCCAGACCCCAGGACTGGCCCCAAGCCATGAAGGAATATGTGCAGCGCTGCTTTACAGCCTGTGAGTCAGAGGAAGACAAAGATCGTACAGAGAAGGTGTTGAAGGAGGTTCTGCAGGATCGGCTGAAGGACGGCTCTGCTTACACCATCGACTGGACCCATGAGCCATTGCCAGAGTGAGTTTAGTAGTGGATTTATGTTTGACCGGATTATTTATTTTATATATCTCAGCTTCAAAATGTACTTGACATTAGTTTTCCAGATAAAATCAGACATAAAACGTAACTGTATTTTGATTTGGTTTCAGTTAAGTTGAAATTTGGCTTTATATTAAATTAGTTCCCCTGCAATGGTTTGATGCATTTCTTTGTTCTGAATACTTTTGAACTGACTTTGGGTCTTTGTTTTTGTTCTTATTGCAGACTAAAGGCCAAGCCCTCTCGTTGGGAGGCTCTTGCATCCCAGAGGACAGCTGATGGCTCAGTTAGCCGTGGCGGAAGTACACTGGCTGCATCTCCAAGAGGCAGGGGTGGTGCACACCGATTGGGCCACTACAGGAATATCTTTTCTCAGAGGAGTCCATCTTCTAGTTCCTCTCATTCGTCCTCTCGCTCCCCATCCCCCTCCCATGACCGACACAGGGACCGCAGCACCCAAAGGCACAGACGCAGGTAAGACAACATTTCCCCCGTGATCATCTTTGGCTATTGTAGGCCTGTGTATTTCTTCATTTTGAATCTTGTGTCTCCGTCCTCCTCCCAGTGACTCTGGCTCGCAATCAGACAGCAGCATCTCCAGTGACCTCCGACCCCAGTTGTCACGACGAAGAGGTGGACGTGGTCGAGGTAATGACAGGGAAAGGGGACGTGGAGGAGGGGAGAGAGGACGTGGAAGAGGAGGAAAAGCAAATAGAGGACGCCGGTATGTAAATAAATATATAATTACAAAAATGGATCATTTAACAATCGATCAAAGTTTACTCGTGGAGCCCAATATCACAATGTACATTTGTCTCAGGGGGCTTCACAGATTATACAGAATATGATTCGACACCCTCTGTCCTTAGACCCTTTGTCCTTAGACCCTTTGTCCTTAGACCCTCTGTCCTTAGACCCTTTGTCCTTAGACCCTCTCATCAGACAAGGACAAACTCCCAATGAAATCCCACAGTTAATGGGGGAAAAGGCTCTTCCTATTCTCATTGGTCACTGTCCTCAAAGAGGGCGTAGGACTTCCTGACTCCATAGCAGAGGACATAATCTCCAAATTACTTTTCTAGAAATATGGAAGACTCCAATGCAGCGGTTGGAAAGAAGAGGAAAGGGGGCAACGCCGGTGTGGATTTCCATGACCCACTGCGAGAAGCCAAGAAGCAGAGCCGAGCAGCCCGCTTCCACAAGCAGCTGCGCTCAGAGCCTCTGGTTCTTTCCATCAACTCTTTCGACCAACCGGATGGAACCCAGGAGAGCCTCAGCTGGGATGACGTCCCCATTGTGGGGACATGCCAGGACGTCACCAAGCCCTACCTGAGGCTCACCTGTGCCCCCGACCCCTCTACTGTGCGCCCTGTGCATGTAAGTGAAACTCTTGTGGGAGTCGTTTTTATGTATTCCTGTGTCAGTTATACAGTCCTCGGATGATGTTTGGCATGTCTGAGATCTGTCTCTCTTGACAGTTGTCTGAGGATACTGCTAAATGGGTTGAACGTTTTTCAGAATACTTTTTACCATTGACAGGGTGTCCGCGGGGTCTTAAAAAGGTATTAAAAGTTGATAAATCAAATTAGCGAAAATGAAGGCTATTAAAAAATATTAAACGGCATTTTCCAAGGTATTACATTTTGTAGCTTGTTTTCAATAAGTATATAAATTGTCCAAAGAGGTTGTATTACATTTGACTTCCTGCATATACCCTGCTTTACAATGCATAAAAAAGGGTGAAGATCTAGATGACATGATGAAGCTTTTATATTATATAGTATATTTATGTCTCCATCTACACCACCAAAGATCACGATCCACGCCTTACCTGTTTCTGAACTTGTTTGTATCCAGGTCCTGAGGAGATCTCTGCTGGCTGTGAAACTCCACTGGAAAACCCACCAGGAGTACACGTATGCCTGTGAACAGATGAAGTCCATACGACAGGACCTCACGGTCAGTTTGCAGCAAGTCTTTCATTTCTACCCGTCTTAGTATTTTTACAATGTTAACCTCCGTCTGTGTTTTTTATCATGGTTATCTAAATGAGTTTTTATTTTCCCCAACAGGTCCAAGGAGTTCGTACTGAATTCACAGTGGAAGTGTACGAGTGTCATGCACGCATTGCTCTGGAAAAGGTCAGTCCGTTTTATTTTCTATACGTTTTGCGGTAGTTAAAAATTGATAACAGTATATTTTATAATAATGACCGAATGTTAATTGTCTCCAGGGAGACCATGAAGAGTTCAACCAGTGCCAGACCCAGCTGAAGGCCCTGTATAAGGACAACCCGTCGGAGAACATTGGAGAGTTTACAGCATATAGATTGCTGTATTACATCTTCACCAAAAACTCTGGAGGTACGCTCACACTGATGGCGTTAAATCAGAATATGGCAATATCCCAAATGATATGACATTTAGCCAACAGTAGTGAAATAATATTGTTCCAAGGCCATGTGTACAGCCAAGCGTGAATATTTTCAGTAAAAGGTCATAAACATTTTGTGTATGTAAAGATGTAATGTCAGTGTTCACATGTTATAAACAGCATACATACATTCTTATCTCTTCCCTTCATATTTAAACGTTGGCCAATCATTGCCCCCTCCAGATCTGACCACTGAGTTGGTGTACCTGACCCCTGCCCTGCGGGCAGATGTGTGTGTGGCTCATGCTCTTGCACTCCGCGCTGCCTGGGCATTAGGAAACTATCACCGTTTCTTTAAGCTGTACAAAGAAGCCCCGCGCATGGCTTCATACCTCATTGACAAGTTTGTTGAGAGGGAGAGAATGATTGCACTTCGGGCTATGGTAAAAACGTAAGTGAAGGTCCAGAAAGATTTATTTTCACATTTTAGTTCTCCATAAATTATGAGTTCCTGATTTCTCTGTTTTCTCTGTTTTCCGCAGGTTCAGGCCCGACTTGCTCGTGGAGTATGTGCACTCCAATCTGGGCTTCTCTTGTTTAGACTCCTGTGTGACCTTTCTCACTGCGCATGGTGTCACTTTCTACCCCGGTGACCCTGAAAAGATAGACTGCAAAACCAGCTCAGCCGCTTTGGCTGCCTCCTGAGGAGGTGGGGTGGGGGGGGAACACCATAAAGGGAGAAGTTAAGGGACCATAATGGAGCTTCACATATACAATGCACTGCACTTGAGACACATCAGCCTTTTCAGATAGGGTTGGCAAACTACAGAAGACCCACATAGAAAGATTCATGAAAACTCTTAGATTCAGATTACAGATGTCGTTGGATAGGAACTGCTTTATAATGCCAGACGAGTGAGGAGTTTAGATCTGGGGTACACGTGTAGTGTCAGCAATGGGAGTCAAAAGTCAATAGAACAAATCAGAGAGGCCCCCCCCCTCCCCCCCCATGATTCCTGTTCCCTAGCGACCCTCAGATGTCAAAGCTAACAGTGTTCTGTTATGTGTTTTCCTTCCTCAAGTCAACAGCTTCAACACCTGAAGATTCAAGCCTTGTAAACCAAAAGGGAAATACAAACAGCTGCCAGTCCTTCATCCAGCTCTCTCCTGTTTGCATAGAAGTCCACAGATTCAGATCACCCTTACACATTCCTCCTAAAGACTGTGATAAAACGCGTGAGAGAAGGCGCCGGCCGTGTGTCTGAAGGAAGATGAGGTGGTTTGTATGTCCTGCACCGGGTTGCCCCAAAGGTATCAGATGGCCGCGCATCATCCTGTTCCTCATCCTGATCAAAAGGCCAGTGAGAGCAATGAACTTAAGTCTTAAGTCTTGTTCCTGATTTGAATTAAGTTCTATTAATTCAATGATCCCGGTCAAGAAATGGTTGGCCAGCTTTTGGGAGAAAGTCTGAACGTGATGAGCATTGACTTTGTGTATGATCAAGGAATCAGGCAAGTGTTCTTCATCAGGGTGGTATCCTCCTCCGTGCCCTCCAAGCTGAGCTCCATCTCCAGAATGAAAGCAGCCAGAGGCAGAGAGGGAGTCTGCCGCCATCCTCCTCCAGCGGACGTCCTGCCAGCACCTGGAATCCAGCAGACGCCGACCAACAGAAAAGTGATGAAGCCCCTCTGACCTCCATGTTGGCCTTCTTAACCTCACCAGCTGTTAATCAACAGAAAAGCTGCCATCTTTTAAATACAGCCAAAGGGGAATTCTGCGGGGTGAGCTTCAGCGAGAACCTGCTGCCTCTTCCAAAAACTACGAGCGGTTTGTATGATCTGTGTGCACGGCTGGTAAGCTAAAGGGACTCTCTGGGAGGAGGAGGAGGAAGAGGACGGCACGGCTGAGATGCTGCCTCACTTTTCGTCTGTGTTGAATTTCTTCCGTCCTTTGTCATGGCCCAGTAAAAGAATTATGGAGCAGCAAAGCAGATTTTTATAATAAGCAGTTTAATGTTAGATTAATTAAGTATGATACAATTTGACTAAACCCTAAAATGCCAGAATGGCACCAGTTAGATCCGACGTGTTTACTGCACATTAACCTTTGCTATCTGAAGGTCATATGGTTGAGTGTTGATAAAAGAGTTTCCATCTGATGTAGACAGTAATTTAATAAAGGACATGCGAGTTGAGTCAAGATGCTTTATGTCCATTTTCCCAGTTGACAAGTAATTAATAATTAAAAAGATGAATAAAAGACTATTTACCCTTTGGTACAGGACAGGACTTTCTTGAAGTATTTCTGATGTGATTGTGGTCCATTAGTCTTGAGGCTTGTGCTGTCCAGGACCTAAAATACTATTGGTGGGGGACACACTATTTTAGGTGATAATTGGTATTAAAAATGAGGTATTAGACAGTTCCAAATTGTTCAGTAAATGTACACCTATACCAACAACACATTAACTCCATGTTAATTTTGTTTGTTTTCTACCATATCCTATAATTTAAGGACTCATAGATAATGATAGTGTAAACATTTGAAGAAAAGAAACGGGTCGTTTTGATTTGAGTTTTGTTTATTTGAACAGTATTAATTGCTGCTGTAGAAATATTAAGCCATTTCAGACTGAGGGGTAACTAAGCAGAACTTGAGTGGATGCAGGCTTGCTGTACATGTTTATTTGTCAACAGAGTTTATTTTTGTAAATATTGTATGATATTGCTGTGATTTATATTAGTGCACTAGTGCATAGTGTCGTTTTTTCCCCCTCACACGGACGTGTGATTCTCTTTTATTTTCTTCTGGGTTTTGCAGAACTCTTCTTTGACCATATGGGAATATGTAAACTAAAATGCAGATAGATCTGGGTGACGTTGTCAGGATGTAGATGATAGAGGAGTCGATGATTTCCCCAGTACAGCCTGAAAACATTCATACAGGCATTGTGGCAATATTTGATGCTCAGTTTTGAGTGACATGACCAGTTCAAATGTCAAAATGGTCATATTTTATTCAGGCAAAACTCCTGTTGCCTCTATTGTATCACTCGCCTTTTTGTGGCAGTAAAGCTTGGCAGGTAGTTCCATGCAAAGCTGATATCTTCTCAGTGATGAACACAAAATGTTTAAGTCTTCAACCAATTTCCATCAGGTTGACAAAATGTTCTTGTAAACACTGGACCGTTATTTGTCAAACTTCACTGTTGACCATTTCAGCAAACAATTTGTAATGACAACAATCTCAACATGTTTTCTTTCTTTCCCCTTCATTTACCTGATCCCCTGTCCTCTTCACTGCCCCCCCACCCCACCCCCTAAACTCCCCCCCACACCACCAGCCCTCTCCTCCTTCAGCTCGCAGCACTGCTCACAGCAGGAGCTCATAAAGAGAGGATAGTGACGCCAGCCGGAGAGAGTGAGCATCCCAGTCTTGGTTTGACCCGCTCAAGTTGAAGCGTCACAGCTGATGAAATACATGGGAGCCTCATGATGAAATGTGGAAAATGTTGATGCTGCTGCTAATGTGATTTGCTGCTAACCCAAATATTGAAAATGTTTTTCTGTGCAACATGATACCTGTTAAGTTTTGAGAAAACTGCCTGAGGATTTACAAAGCCCCCTTTTTACTGTTTGTCCAGATACATTTTGAATATTTCGCCTACATGTGTTTGCTGGTAAATTAGTCATCATTTGGTGGTATTTTTCTTAAATTCCTATTTATTATTAATCGCAAATTATTTTGGATAATGTTTGCTCAGTTATAGATTTGCAGTCATTTTTAAATGCCTCAAAAGAAATGTGTCTGGACATTCCGAACATATCACTCATGAAATTCCCCGACAGTTAGTAACATTTCTCTTAGTATGCAGTCTTATTCAGGCAAAGCTTCATATGACAAGTGGCACGTCCTCCCAAAAAAAGACTTTGGATTCTTCTCATGTGAATGAGCTGAATGACAGTTGTTTGTTGCATTGGGTTTGTGTAAACTTAACATTTCTTTAAACATGGTTAATGTGTGCACCTCTCAGGATTTCAGCATTGATACAGTCCAGGATGTTTACTTTGTTTATTTTGCCTTTTTTAGTAGAAAATTCCACCCAGGAACTAACAATACACATTTTCATTTTGGATGTTTTGTTTGTTTTTCCTCCCAGTTGCCTGAGTCATGTTTTCAGTATTTTTTGCTCCCATGTTACTGTATACCTCCCATCAGTCTTTGTAACTCCTTCCTTGATATTTACTGGAAGAACTTCCCATGTCCCTCACCTCTGCTGTGTTCATCTCCGGCCATTCCCTCTGAACTAGTCTCTTCTCTGTTCTCACTTTCTCTTAACTCCTCTCCCTGCATGCTGTCCTCTCCTCTGCTACAGATCTCTAACCAGTATTTGTTCTCTTCTCATTCTTATCTGTTCCTTTTATGCTGGTTATGCTTGTGACCGTTTGCCATGAGCATTTAGTCACTCTCACTAGTAAGTATTGTATTGCGTCTGCAATGCTTTGATAGTTTATGTTGCGGCTCAACTAACAACTGAATCTGAAGGTTTCTCTGCCACGCCTCTCCATTTACAGATCCAACTTGAACTGCCATTTTGTAAATCTTGTGTATATATATATTTTAAATAAACTTCAAGAATAAATGACACCCAGTGTAATTGTTTTTTTAAACATGTAATGCATTCATTTAGATAAATGGATACAACAAAAACACAAGTTAAAACAGAGTTTGGCATGGACATTTTATTGTGAGTGACAGGCACCTGTGACACAAGCTGGATAATTGAAAAGAGTTTCCTTCACTTTCTTCCTTTACACAGCTTTGTTTGACATGTTCACTTCAGCAAACACATTTGAGCTGCAAGAAGATGTCAAAGTGAATTGAATGGAGTTGTTGGAAAATAAAGTTGGAGTTTTATGGTGAAAAAATATTTAGAAAGCTTAAATGACAGAAAAAAGGAGAGAGTAGAGCAGTAACTAAATGTTAAAGGTGGGGTAGGTAAGTTTGAGAAACCGGCTCGAGATACACTTTTTGTTATATTCCATGGAATGCTCTTAACATCCCGATAGCAATGAATATCTTAAGTGCTTTGACAAAAAATCCATACAAATATTTCATCTGTGGAAGCCGTAATACTGTAAAAAGCACGACCAATTATTTTAGCCGGCCCGGCTAAAATAACTGGATGGCCTACCTGCCTGTCAGCCTTCCATCTGTGCACAAACTTATCTCGTGCCCTCACTGGTCATGTGCGCGTTCGTGTTGTGTTGGAGGAGGGGCTCTATAAGGAAGTGGCAGATTTTCTCCGGTTGTGTATTTTAAATTCTAGCGATCTCGAGCCGGTTTCTCAAACGTACCTACCCCACCTTATACATGCAGATGGGCTAAAAACGAAAGAAAGAGAATTCAACAAATAGGAAAAGCAGGAAAAATAGTTTTAAAGCATAACTTTTTATACATATAGTGCCTCGAAGGATGAAAATAAATTAAACCAAGACATTTCTGTATTAACCTCCAATGAAAGCCTGATAAAAATTAAGCCCCGTATAATACCAAGGTCGGCAAAACACATCTTGTAGAGAGAAAAAAAGGGGGGGGGGGGAATGAAACAGAACCTGTCCAGCAAGAGACATTGTTTCAAAGCAAGAGAAAAATAAACTATAAAGAGCAATATGAAAGAGAAAGGATCTAAAGAAGGGCTGAAGCTCAGAATTATATAAATCAACGCAGCAGACAGAAAGCACTAAGTACGACAAGGAACTAAAGGAAAAAGCACAAGAAAGTAAAGCCAGACCTGCACAGTGCAGAGGAGAGAACAATAGTTATGCATGCAAGGAGAGAGAAAGTCATAAGCAAAGGTTTGAGTCACTCAGAGGAAAGTTAAAAAGCAGAGATAGAATAAGTATTATACTGATAAAACTAAATCTACTACTAATAAAGAACAGAGTAAAATCTGTTAATTTAGGTCAGAAAATAGATTAGATAGAAGGAGAAGTTTCATGAGCATATATATATATATAGGACAGAAGAAAAAAGAAAATAAGAGTAAGACTAGCAGAAATGTTACAAGGTAAAAAGCTTTATAATTGGAAAGTAGAAGCAGGAAACAAAGTGCAAGAAACAAAAGGAAAGAGGCTGCTTTAGGATTTGTGTTGTGACAATGATCAAGGATCAAGTCTTCTTTGGTATCAGAGCAGCAGAGAAGGACACAGTAAAGAATAAGAGATGGAATACAAAAAGAATGGAAAATCTTACAAATCAATAAAGGACAGAATAGGAAAAGAGAGAGAAAATATTTTTTATTTAGAGGTAAACATCAAACACAGCAGAAAAGAGTGCAACAGAAACAAAGAGTAGGCCAAGGAGGAACTATCAATACAAACCGAGAAGTCATTCAACAGTTCAGAGGAAAGGACGACAGTAAAGAGTGAAATAAGGATAATTTAGACAAGGGAAAAGAAGGGGGTACCTGAACTCTAACACTGAGCAGACTCTGGTCTGAATCATTGAAATGGTTCTGTGTTTGTGTAATAAAGCCAACAGCAGAACACTGCTTCTTACCGCAGCTCCCAGTTGAACACGAGTATAACTGTGAGAATGTTTAGAAAAACAAACCTTCCCTGGGTGAGTAAAGGAGAAAAAGGGCTCTTTGTGTAGTGAGGTGCCACAGAAACTAAACTATGTAAAATCAGCATTTACTGGAAGAAAAGTAAAGGGAGAGAAAAAGCTCTGCAGAGTTAAATATCACACACAGAAAGGGATACAGGATTTATAATGACAGCAGTATTAAAAGCTGAAAAAGAATGAGAGGTAGATTGTTAGAAAGACAAAAAAAGGAAAGAAAAGGAAAGTCCAACTAGACCCCAACAAACATTACTTATCTGCTTGTAATAATGAAACCAGTGTCACAGCTGGGTCTGTAACTGAACAATGTAGATGAGTTACATCACTCATATGCTCACACACACACACACACACACACACACACACACACACACACACACACACACACACACACACACACACACACACACACACACACACACATACACACACACACACACACACACACACACACACACACACACACACACACACACACACACACACACACACACTCACACTCACTCTCACACACAGAGATTTAGTTAATAATTGTCACCATAAATAATAACATTGTACAAACTATGACATGAAACTTGATAAATCTCAGATATTCACAAAATTAACTCTCACAGTATTTTCACCAACTTCTGCCGTGTTAGCCAACTTTAAATTCAGAAAACAATTATCCTTTAAAGGTTTTAAGCAACTGTCTATATATTAAATAACATCCTCTTCTAGGAGCTAAGTATTCATCGGTAGAAAGGACAGTGAATGGGTGCTAAACTATTTACATCTTCAGTCTGTTTAGTCTCTCGAGGAGAGGTTGTGATGACAGCAGGAAGTAAAACCATCTCCACGTTCTCCAAGGATCTCACAATCTGTCCTGCAGCGTCCATGGATCAGCCAATCCCAGAGGCAGAGAGACGTGTGTGTGGGTGTGTGGCTCAGTATGGGGTGAAGCGGTTATATCCTCCTCTGTACAAACTGGCCTGTAAACAGAAGCATTGTGTCAGGTGCTGTTAACCCGCACGTGTAACACGAGATCTCTCTGCAGAGGCTGTGTGTGTGTGTGTGTGTGTGTGTGTGTGTGTGTGTGTGTGTGTGTGTGTGTGTGTGTGTGTGTGTGTGTGTGTGTGTGTGTGTGTGTGTGTGTGTGTGTTTCACTCACCATTGTACCAACGCCATATGGTGTTGTTGGTCCGACTGAGTGGTGATAGGGGTCCGCAGATGTCGTATAAACACGTCCGTATCTGTTCAAAAACATCAGAAGCAGATGCACATGTCACGATGTAGCCAGGATTTAAAAAAAAGGCTCCTATTAAACTTCCTTTTTTTATTCATTTATCTCCTCAATGATGGCTTTTATTTAGTTCTACTTTCATAACAGCCCCCCCACAGTCTTTTGGTGTTTAAATGTTGCCTCTAAATGTTGAAAATAAAGGATAAAATCGGAATTAGCCTTAAAATCTGACTTGTGTTTAAGTCCAACATGTGCACTGAATAGGATGTTAGTCCTCCTACATTTCTAGACACAAAATGCATGACCTGACCTCAGTGCCTGTTACTTAACTGGTTGGTTTTAAAGGAAACATAAGTAGTTTTGGTATTATCAACTGATATAAGGTTCATGAATACAGTTTTATACAAAATGTTAATGATTTATACTTGAATTCCGGAATATATTTGATTAATCTGATATCATTTCCCTTTCTTTAAATGGTTTCAAGGATCTAAAAGCTGATTTGAGTTACACAATAGTTTTTTTCGTTGTAAAATCTGCCTACCCGTCACTGTAGGTTGCCGTGGCAGGAGGCGCTGATTGAGCCACTCTGTAAGCTGCAGGATAGCCACCCTGCACAGAAAATACAATAAAAATAACATTATTATAGTAACAACACTTTAAAATGACTTTAAGGAGGAAATGTGTGCAGCTACTTACATAGACTTCTGCTCCATACAGTCCATCCTGATACACCATCCTGAAAGAAGTGAGTGAAACAATATTAAAATGCTGAAGACTGAAGTGAGTGAAGAGGCTCTGGCACTCGGACACAGTCTTACCCGGGGTATCCGGGCACGGCAGTAGGCGCGGCGGCAGCAGAGCGGATGGTGCTGTAGACGGCGCGGCCTCGCCCCCCCCGCAGCGCAGAGCCTCGGTACGCCAGCGTGGGAGCGGCCATGGGATAGGGGAAACCGGCCATTACAAAGGGATATAAAATGGTAGAAAACGTGAAAGGTAAATTTTTTGAATATAATACAGGTGATCTCATTACAATAATAGTTAGGGGTTTGAGAAAATATACTGTAAATACTTTTATATTTTCCTAATAGTTTTTCAGTGTAGTTTATATGCAAAGATCCTTGCTGTGACAGTGGTTAATCTGATGTTATGTTTAAGCCCCCTTACCCAGATAGAAGTGTTGTTATCTGTTTATAGCCATTGACTCTTCCCTCTCAGTGTAACAACATAAACTGAGACAAGTAAGTAGTGTAAGGGTGCAAAAGTCAAATGTTTCTTAACTTAGATTTTATGAAAACACAGCCCTAATAACAGATGAGTGTTACAGAGAGTGTCTTACCTGTATAGAGTTCAGGTGCGTACATCGCCTGCATGACGGGGTTCATCTTCCATCCAGAAGCTACACATAGAGAACATTGGGATAAGTTTCACACAAAACCACTCGGAATCATGCAGAAAGTGAACTTAGCTAAAATGAATGGGGAGTCTTACTTGGAATTTCACTGTTTACAAGCGGCGTCTGGGGCTTCTTGGTTACTACTCTTGCGGTTGCATTATTAACCTGGATAATAAGATAAAATATTCCTTATTGTTCCATAGGGGGAAATTAGCTTAAGGCAAATTCTGCAACAAACTGAAGCAATCAACTTAAAAGAATACGGAGCCAAACAACGCTAGTGGTACAACAGAGACACAGTGTGAGATAAGATAAATAACTTAATATTCATTAGAAAAATGAATTCTCCCTCACCTCAATCTTCCTCCCCTCCACAATCGTCCCGTTCAGCTTTTCTCTGGCTCGGTCAGCCTCACCTGCACTCTCGAATGTGACGAAGCCAAAGCCCTGCAAGACCACACCGTCACAATGTTAATATTCTGTTTTCTTATTTTAAAATTCAGCTCTTATAATGCCTGTGATGCTCACCTTGGACCCCCTCTCATTGAAGATAATTTCTACATCAAGGATCGTCCCAAATTGCTGGAAATGTCAGAATAAGTATGTAAGTATAATATAATAGATACAGATAACTTCATTTTGTTTAATGATGTATATAACGATTTATAAAGGCATTGTGAGACTGCGTGACAGTGAGAGATTTCTACCCCAAACATCTGGCGGAGGTCCGGGTCTCTGAAGCGGAACGGGATGTTGGAGACGTGGAGGCGTTTGGGTTGGACCTTATTGGACCCCTCCTCGTCACTTCCATCTCCTGCGCCGCCCCCTGATGACACCGACAGGGGGTCAGAGTTCACAGCGGCCAAACCATCCTCCTGCAGTGAGAAAGTATGAAAACAGGAGGAGAAGGAGGAGAGGAAGCGATAGGAGAAGAATGGACAGGAAGGAAGAGGACGTGAAGGAACAAACATGAAACAGAAAGATGGGAAAAGAAAGTGAGATGAGAGTAGGTGAGAAGAAAAAACGAGGAAAGGGCATCAGTAGGAAAGCAAAGGGAAAGAAAAGGAAGAAAAATCATAAAGTTAATTTGGAGAATACAGTCTGTAACATCTTTCAGAGAATATTGTTTGTGTCAGCATCACAGAGCATTAAGCATCATTTTCATGAAGTGATTCAAACCAAAGTTCAAAGAGCATTCAGCAACCAGTGATCCCTCTCAGGCAAATGTGAGGAGGCAAGAAAAGGGCTCCATTTTAGTGAGGCGTGTTTAAATACATGCCTGGAGGAGAGTATAAATACTAATGCACTGTACAAAAACAATATGGATTATAAACCTGTCATATAAATCTTCACTCAAGCTGTTTCAAAGAGTGTTAAATAATGTTTAATGATGAAGCACTCTAACTGAGTGTCCCATATTATTGTAATAACCTGTAATATACATACAAAACTGTAGTAATATTTAACTTAAAGTTGCCCCATGCAGAAAAGTTTACTAATGTGCCAAAACCAAAACATTCATTTTCCCAAAATGCACCACGATGCTATTGTGTGCATGTTTTTATGTTGGTGAATGGTGACCCAGCATCATCAACCATTGCAAGAAAATAAATGTTAAAAATATGTTTTTTTAAAACAAATGAATAAGTACAAACAAGAAAAGGTCTGCAAGATAGAAAAAAAAAATATATATAGTGAGCTTCAGCAGTGAAAGCGAGAGAAGAAATGTTGAAAACATAAAAAAAAGAACATAACAAAGCAAAGAAAAATACTACAAAAATGTTGATATATAAATATAAAAAAACAGTCCTTGTGTAAAAGTAAAAATGTCAGTATTAGCATTCTAGCACCAAGAGGCAGAGAGTGGAAAAGGCCTCAGTGCAGCAGTGAAGAATAAAATGAAACCAAAGTAAACAAGGCAAAGAAGGTGCGCAAAAAGCTTGAAAAGGAAGAGGGTGAAGGGGGAAGGCAAAGAGTGTAAAACTGTACGTTCCACAAGGGTCAGTCGGGGGTCACGGTGCTGCGTTTCTGCCAGGGGTTAAAGGTCATTTGTCAAGGGGCATCATTAATAAAGTGGGGAGAGACAGAAAAAGGTACAAAGACACTTTCACACACACACACACTTTCACACACACACACACACACACACACACACACACACACACACATACACACACACACACACACACACACACACACTTTCACACACACACACACACACACACACACACACACACACACACACACACACACACACACAGACAGACAGGCTAAATGGGGAGACAGGGACACAGGGAGGGGGGAGGGGGGGTGGTGGTGTCATTTCACGATGCAGAACTGTGTTTCTGGACCTGAGCGATATTTCAGAGGGGGAAAGGGGGTCATCTGGTCAGCCACCCCCTTTGACCCCCTCCCTCCATGGCGACGTCTCAACTTTTCCCCGAAATTCAGCACGGACCCGAGTATGTCAGGGGCTCTAGTAATAAAATATATAGATGGGGCCAAAACATTTATGAGAGGAGGAAGAGAGATCACACTAAAGCCCTCTGACCCTGTCATGGTGGAGGTTTTCAAGCCTGAAGGAAATGTTATTAGTGGATGTCAAAGGTTTACTGCACTGCAAAAGTAATGACACAAATGTCTGTCTAAATGGAGCCATACAAATCTAAAAAGTGAAAATCAACCTGTTAATTGAGAACAAAAATTCAAACGTGTTTCCAGAAATGAGTGCCTGTGCTAACTTGTTTACAGAACAACAAAAATGCAAATATTTATACATTATATAGAATCTCCACAACATTACAACAACAAATAAATACCACAATATACTTTTTTAAACAACAATAATTTCACAAAAAGACAAGTCAGCTTTAAAATATTCCAAATTATTAATTTGGCAAGCATCAGTTAGCTGAAGGGTCAAGCACAATGTGTAAAAAAGTGTTTTCTCTTTAGAACCAAACTCTTATACACTGCACTCACAATTATGGCATGCTAACATGCCACATTGTAGTTTATCATGTTATCATGGTAGTATTTATAACACATACACTTGAGGCTGTACTGACCGTTAGAGAGTCAGAGGGTCATTAGAGTTAATCCTCTAGGGACCTTTAATATCAGTATCAGATTTCACAGCAATCCATCAAATAGGTGATAAGATATTTCACTCAAAAGCTAAATTGTTAACCTCACCTGGGACTCATTCATGTCATTTAGTTTCACTGCAATCCAGGGAATAGCTTTTAAGTTATTTATGTATAGACAAATAGTTGGACCAACAAACAGAGGTCCATTCATACAATGCCACCAGCATGTTTGAAAATAGACTATGTAAGTTGCTGCACTACAATTATGAATTCAATTTTAGTACGTATTGGGAACAAGTTTATTTATTAAGGAAATATATTTAAATAATTTCACTGCACTGGAATATTTGTTTACTTAGTTTAACAAAAATAAACACAGTAATAAAAATGGCCTGTTGAGAAAACTGTGAGACAAACTGTTGAATTTTCAAAACAAAAATAGACAGAAACATCTTAACTTAACATAGAACCTATTTATTTCCTTCTTTTACAATTATATTTCAATTCACACCGAAACATAACACTCCACTGTTGAAACAGTAAAACATTTGAAACCCTCTAAGAAAATCTCTTTATAGAAAGTGTACGTTATGTGATCCTCTAAATACTTAACTGTTCATATCATCACAAAATGTCACAGCCATAATGTTGAAAGGTGATCTGTTTTATTGCCTGCTAAATGAGACACTTAGAAGATGGAGAAGTGGGGATTTATTTTCATCAACAAATCCCCACTCAGCTGCCCCCCCCCCTCACTTTGAGTGTGACAGCATTCCCGTACATGGACACAAAAGTGTAAGTGGGGCTCTAAATATAGAAGAAACTCTATCTGTCCATGTTCCCCTGATGGGACATAAGGATGTTCTACCTGAAGCAGCAGGGCTACTTATCACATGAACTCACTGAAGATCAGATTTGATTGGGACTGCTTGTCGTGAATTCACAAACTGTTCTTACCGCGTGGCTGGACGTCAGAACCTCGGCCCCCTCGAGCTGGGGCCCCTGGTAGATTCTGAGCTGGGGGTGTTCAGCGTACTCTGAGCCGGGGTGTGCAGAGGTGAATTCAAGAGGCAGTCTGCCCACAGATGTGGGTGGACACTGCCCTGGGGGGGGGTATGAGGGAGGAGGGGCGTAGACCTGGGACAGGTTGGGGTCCCCGCTGCCGGGGCCGGCCTCCTGACCGGGGCCTCCCTGCAGGAAGAGAGAGAGAGGGATCAGCACCACAAGATATTAAATGTCAGAGGTGTAAACAAACAGACCATCGTGCGTCTGTTCTCCGGCTCTCACAGGAATGATCTGTTGTCAGTTTGAATATGACGACACAAACATCAGATAAACAAAAAAGCCCTCAAAGTATGGAAATCACAAAACAAACATCTAACCTATTAACGTCTGAGAGCTTGTTTGAATAAATAAGCAAAAAAGGCCAAATGTTCCTTGTTGTAGTTTCTCAATAAATGATAAAGTTATATTTAGTGTTAAGATTTGAAAGAGTGAAACCATGAATCAGAGTCACATCAAAAGAGCAGTACAGCCTGATTTCAATCAAATCACAAAGTAATTCTACATTAAACTCCATTGAGTCAGAAATAGAAAGATTTCAGCTGAGAAATGTAAATTAAAACAGATTACAGAAACAAAAGTTCACCCTCCTACAGCAATGATCCAAGTGAATAATTCAGGTAAGGAGCTAAAAGCATTGTCTTACCCTGTCAGTGCATTCCTCGCTCTCTGGTGCATTGTCCAACAACTGCTGCATGTTTTAATGTCAGCTAACAACCCGCCTACCGCACCAAAAGCTCTATTCATCCACCAATCACATCAAATGATCGCCAGAACAAAAAGGCACCAGGAGCCCACACCAGCTGTGGTCATCTGCACCTGTCAATCACCTCATCCCCCACCCACCATCACTTTACACAACACACACACACACACACACACACACACACACACACACACACACACACACACACACACACACACACACACACACACACACACACACACACACACACACACACACACACACACACACACACACACACACACACACACACACACACACACACACACACACACACACACACACACACACACACAGCACATGGGGTATACATGGATGTAAATGCTCCTACAGTTCCAAGACAGTATATCATGGTAAAGGTCGACTCTAAGAATATCGTGTTTAGTAAGACAACATGGTATTATTACGGTTCCAATATCACTTTTAAATAATATATACCGCAATACCGCTTAAAAAATAGCTCTTATATTATCTTTCCAAAAATATTTCTGACTACATGCTAAAATATTAAAGATTTTAAGAGAATCATAATAAAAAGATATGTAGGACCAAAAGTACATGTAATCCAGTGCTGTACTCATACACTTTTACATGCAAGATTCAGACAAGAATCCACACACTATATTAGATTCAGAAAAGGTAAAAGGTGAAAAACGTTTTCAACTTTTGGAGAAGAATACAATCCTTAAAAATCGAATCCTGGAAATACAAAAAATCATTCAAGTCTTAAATCTCTTAAATGTCCTTACTGTAAATATGAAGCTAGAGGTAATAGCTGGTTAGCTTAGCTTAGCATAAGGACTGAAAACGAATACTGACATAACTTTTTTCTTCGTGTTACCTTACATGCAAAGGTTTGTCAGCCAGCTTTAGGACTTTAGGTTTTACTATAATGAATAACTCCTTTCACTGACATTTAATAAACTCTTAAATATCTCTACCAGCTGTTGCACTCAAAATAAGAAGATACAGGGACAATGAAAAAGGAATTCGGTAAAGCAGGGTTGAATTTGGACACGCGTAACTCAAGCAAAGTTTTCAAACTACATAAACGAAATGCTATTGTCCTAAACATCGGACCCCTGTGATGTTTTCTGTTGTAAATACCAACTTTTGCCATCCAACAGAATAAATAAAGTACCATGAGTTGTTCAGAGTCTCTCTAGGTGTAAACAACAGCCAACAGCTGTCAGACTCTGTCAGGCACAGCTGTGCTTTGAGCTAAGAGTTAACATCAGCATGCTAACAAAATCACAATGCCATTTAAAATGCAGCTGTTAATCAGGCATGATGTTTACTTTCTTTACCATCTTGGATTAGCCAGATAGCCGGCTAACATTTGCTAATAAGTAAGAAGTTCATGTTGTGATGCTAATGTCAAAGTTAGGGGACTACATATGGCATTATCCTTTGGTTAAAATACATGTCTGTATTCAATTTCACAGAAATCCAACCCGTGAGATATTTAAGTTCTTGTTGCCAATCTGTCTACTCATGGAGAATTCAGTAAAATAAGGGATTCTTTGGTGTTAGACCACATTCCTGCTGGAACATGTTTCCAAACACGTCAACATTAACATTTGTCTGTTTTGTGTCCCATTTATCTCATGAGACAACCAAACTCAGACTGCCAGGTTTCTCTACTCACAGATACAAAAGTGACAGATGAGTGAAGATAACACAATCTGTTAGATATCACTACAAGTTTATTTAATTTCCCCCCATAGAAAGTAACCACCACTGTGCCAGATTCAGTATCAGTGTCAGCAGGCGTGCATACAGACACAGTGTTCCCCCTCTCTTCCTTACAGGCTTTTTCTGTTTAACATGTGTTCTCCTTTCCTCTCGTCTCCCTCCTCAGCTGTCACTTGGGGGTCAGAGGTCAACAGCTATGAGCCAGGCGCATGCTGGGACAGCTGCCACAGGATTTACACACAGACGACACTAAACTGCAGATGTGGCCTTTTAGTGCCGGCCAAGTTACAAATGTTTGTGAACAGGATGTTTATTAAATTAAACTAAAGGTTCCTTTTTCAACACAATTGTTCTCTACGTCCTGCTTTCTGCTATTTAGCTTTTCATAATATTCAAATTGGAAGCATTTGTGCAATAATCAGGACATTTATACAGAATAAAGAACTGCTTAAATGATTATAGTATTTGGATAAACCCGTCGTGCCACCCATTCACCTGTCTGCTCAGCCCAAATAATTGTTTTGCTAATATTCTTCCAATAAAAGTGATAAAGGAGTAGCTACACATATTTAGATAGTAAAACGTTTAGACTGCTTTGGAAAAGTTAATATTCCATCCCTCAGGTTTCGAATCTCTCCTATTTCTTCTTAAAAGCACCCATCTAAATGTTCCTTTTTTAAAACTAGATGTGATTTATTCTTCTAATAAAGCTAAATACTCTAAATTTAAAAGGCACAACAGGCAGGTTTCACACCGTTTTAAGTAGAGTCGAGTGAAGAAAACAAGACAGGTGACAGAATCTCCTCCTGTGATTATCTGCTCAGAAGAGGAGGCTAAAAATACAGCTGGTGTGAAGCACAGAGACAAGGTAGAGAGATACCAGATGCATTGTGGCATTAATGGCATGTCAGGGACGCTTAGATACACACACACACACACACACACACACACACACACACACACACACACACACACACACACACACACACACACACACACACACACACACACACACACACACACACACACACACACACACACACACACACACACACACACACACACACGCACGCGTACACACACATACACACACACTGCTGGCATCACTTCACTGAGACCCGTGGACTAAAGATAACCCCAAATGTGTCCTAACTATTTAACGTACGGGATCTTTCGTAATCAGTGTGCTTCTCCAGCTCCCTTCAGGCCTCGTTGATTTGTCATTCCTCTAATCTTTTTTGTGCACAACACGATTAGTCCCTATTGAGCAACACAACACTAACACCAAATTAGATGTAAGATTGGACTTATTTATCAAGGAAATAAGGGCCCTTTGGTTTCTTCTGCAGTATTAAATGTTTAACTCCTCACTGGGGATGCTATCTTGATGGTTTGTTGGCAGAACCGACATTCATTTCTAACTTATAACAAAGAAAACAAAGCTCTGAAGTTGTTTTCACAGCTATATATTTTAAAATATATATTTTTTACATATTTTTACTATCTTCCCTTCATAACTGTTTAACAGGTTTGTATACACTGTCAGGATGACAATAAAGTGATTATTGAGTGCCAAAAAAACAATTGATCCAGCTTTTTAAATGTGAACATTTGTTAGTGTATTTAATTCCTTAGTCCTTTTATAATGCTAACAACATTTTGGTAACATTTTCTGACATTTTACCAACTATATGATCAATCGAGAAAATGATCTGCAAATTAAACAGTCGTGAAAGTAATCGCAATTGTTGCAGCCCTTAACTCATTAAAAATGGATTTCAATCATATTATCACATCTTTTATTTTCCACTTCTGAACCCCGAGTCACCGTAATAAGACTGAACAGAAAAGACATTGAATGAAGACAAACATGACCGAAAATAGGAGATTTTACGATTTAATTAACAAATGAAGGAGGGTTTACCTGAACTAGGCTGGGGTAGCATGTGGTTGCCTGTGGGTAGACAGGAAGTCCATAGGGCTGGAGAATCACAGTGGGTGAGGAGAGCATGGCACAAAAACCACGCACAAGGAGACAGGGAACAGTGGAAGATAGGAAAAAAGGAGCGTTGGGGAAAATACAAAGTTTGATACGCTCACAGGAGAGCAGGAAATCAGACTGGAGAATAAAATAGAGGAAACAATCCCAACAGGAAAAACAGAAGATCCAAAATGGCGAGGGGAAAGAAGATTAAGACTCTATTTAACCTCACAGATTATTAGAAGAAGAAAAAGGCAAAGAAAGTCCACAAAATGACCGGTGTCCTGTCCAGAAAAGACAGGATATAGGGCTGTGAAAGAGAAAGCAAGTGAGCCTCTGTGTGTCCATCAGTTGATCGTGCAGCCTGACAGACAGAAACACATGCTCAGGGTCCCATTTCAGAGTTTTATAAATAGTCGACCATGTCCTTCTCTCTGAGTTTACCACCTTACCACCCTCACTCTTACACATGTTGTCATGCAAGATCTCCCACCACTTGTTACACACTTTTAAAATACAAGCAAATTCAACAGAGGTATAGTGAGAGAGAGACCCCCGAAGACAAAGCAAGTCAATTGACTCCTAGTGGACCCTAAAGTTAGGTTCAGTTTCCGTTCAGTTTGACTTTACAAGTGTTTTGTAGGTTAATACAAGGTCATAACGTACAATTAAATGTATTGAGTGAACAGGTAAGCTCCAAAATGAAAAAAGCACTTGATGCAATAATATTCATTAAAGATTACATGTATATATCATGGAAATATGGTGTAAGATAAGATGGGATGACGTAAATAAAATATAAAACAGGACTGTGTGTAATTTAACAAACAGTTTTATCCAAAATAATTTCACAAATGTTATTAGAAAAAGGGATGAAATAGATAGATAATAAAAAATACTACTGAAAAAGATAAGTAGCAACAAGTAGCAGTCCAGGTTCATTAAAAGCAGTCATGATGATAATGTTTTCAGAATTGAGAAGCCTGGTGGCTGGATGATAACAACTATCTGTAAGTTGTATATGATCCACCAGATAAAAGTACGTTATAATCATCAGGTGTGTGACTATGACTCATATTTATGATGGGCTTCAAAAATATCTGCCGCTAAGAAACATATTATTTACCTTTAGTTTTCAGATGTGTTTTCCATGTTTGACCAACAGAGTGCAACAAGACCAATTTTCCTACTTCCGTTCGGGCGCAGAGGTGCATCCTGGGATATGCAGTTTGTGCGTCGGCCCTATAAATAAACTGGAACTTCCTCCAACGTTCTCTTTACTTCGCTGGCCTGAGCGAGACAGGTATGATCTGCGGCCTCATGCTACCACACATCGCAAACACACAGCATTAGACATCTTAAATACACAACTGGTATTACATAGTTGTAGGAAATCTAGTTGTATAAGGTAACGTTTTTTTAGATAACCAACTTATGGTTTTGTAACTGTTTCATTGAAAAGCTTATTCGGCTAACGCTAAGCTAACGCTAGCTTGTCACATTTGACAACGTGGTGCGGTGCAGCTGCGGCCTTGTCGTATGTCTTACAATGGCTTGCTTATAGCGTATTTTCATGATGTCTTACAAAATTATTTTTAATTAAGCATTCCTGGCATAGTAGTGTTGACTTAATACATTCTACAAACAATACCTGTGTCTCTGAACTTTTGCGACACATTACAGCGTAATGCTAATGAGCAACTGTTTTTGGAGTTTAACATCTATATCTCCCACAATAAAATATATTGCACATTTCTGAGTAGTCTTTCAACTGCAGATTGTATTTAATAACCAAATAAGCTGAAAAGACAGAATTGCAGGATTTTGAAGGCCGCCACAGTCCTAGGTTTATTAATCATAAGAACTTATTGCAGAACTATGTAGTATTTTTAAAATAACAACGTAGATGCCATTTTATTTTTACACTGGTGAAATTAACTTGATTCATTGGGATTATCTAAAGTTGATGTGTGCGTGTGTATATATTTTATTAAATATATAAATATGGAGATAATAATGGCTATTTACTCATGTTAAATACAGTTTTTCTTACACATGCTGACTAATTGTCTTTTATTGCAGGCACTTATAAACCGCCATGCCCGTTGCCAGGAGTTGGGTTTGTCGCAAGACTTATGTCACCCCCCGCCGCCCCTTCGAGAAGTCCCGTCTCGACCAGGAGTTGAAACTCATTGGTATGCTGTGATTTCATAATCTCGAGTATAGTTATGAATTAAACCCCATGTTGCCCTCTTAAGAACTGCATAATACTGAACTTAACGGTTGACTGTCCCATCTTTTTTTCAAGGCGAGTATGGTCTGAGGAACAAGCGTGAGGTGTGGAGGGTCAAGTTCACCCTGGCCAAGATCCGCAAAGCTGCCAGAGAGCTCCTCACTCTTGACGAGAAGGACCCCAAGCGTCTGTTTGAAGGTATGCAAAATTCCATTTCATGTTTCAATGTAGTGGCCGATGATTAATTAATCAAATCTCAGACTTTCTGTGGTGTCAAGAATTCCTCGTGAATGAGGCCAATCGTAACTTTACTTAAGTGGCTATTTTCGTCCTTGTTCTGGATTTTAAAATGGCTCCTGTTACCAGGTAATGCTTTGCTCAGACGTCTGGTGAGGATCGGCGTACTCGATGAGGGTAAGATGAAGCTCGATTACATCCTGGGCCTAAAGGTTGAAGATTTCATGGAGAGGAGGCTGCAGACACAGGTCTTCAAGCTTGGACTCGCCAAGAGCATCCACCATGCCCGTGTCCTTATCCGCCAGAGGCATATTCGGTAAGCTACAAGGCTCCTGGGGGAAAATGTCACATAATGGTACTCAAGTCTTGAGACTCAACTCAATGCTTCCTCTTTCTTCAGAGTACCATCAACTTTTAACGCTCTCGGCTGAGATCAGTTAAACTTTTCACAAAGGTCACTTCGGTATCAAAACCGTATACCTTGTCAATAGATATTGCCTAGAGCCAATCCTGCCTCTGAAGGCTTAGGCTGTGCCACTGGTGTTGTGGCTGTCTGGTAAGTTACGGGGGATTGCACCTCGGGCAACTGTCATATTTACTGTACACTGTGTGCCGTACGAATTACTCAGGCTGATGATTTAAATCACATTCTCAGATTTTCTGTGGTGTCAAGAATTCCTCGTAAATGAAGCCTGCAGTAAATAAATGGCAATAGCCAATCTAGACATTTAAGATGACTTCATCTGGACTTTGTCATACAGTTGGATTCCTGTCTTTTGTTTAAACTAAAGTGGAATCTATCAAACTGACTATTGTAATGTGTTTTTCTAGAGTCTAACTCTTTGTCCATCTCTGCAGTGTGCGAAAGCAGGTGGTGAACATCCCCTCCTTTGTGGTTCGCCTGGACAGCCAGAAGCACATCGACTTCTCCCTGAGGTCTCCATACGGTGGTGGACGCCCAGGCCGCGTCAAGCGAAAGAACGCCAAGAAGGGCCAGGGTGGCACTGGAGGCGCTGACGACGAGGAGGAAGATTAAAAAGGATGTAGTCCAGGAAGTGTGTTCTGATGCTGCCTGTTATGTCAACATTTTGAATAAAACTGTTTGGTCTGACCAGAGAACTGATTTGTTGCACTTTTCTTTCTAGAATATTGGCCTTATATATTTTTTAAGTCTATACTAATGAGTTTTAATCAAAGCCAAATATGCATGGATAACATAATTTCCCAAACTGGGATCAATAAAACTATATCTTATCTTAGAGCACGGATAAACAAATGAAGTAAAATGGAGGTTTTTTTTTTTTGTAAAGTGATGCTTATCAGTTGCCATAGATTGCAATAGCTACAGACATGTGGTGATTTTGTCATCTCAATTCGGACTGGATTATCCATACACTCCTTCAGGCTAGAATGGTACAGTCCTAGGTTGTGTAAACCTTCATGATTAGTCGACGAGCGATGACGACACCGTGTAGGGCGGTACCATTCTAACTGTAGGGTGCAATGTTCAGTCAGTGCACTGAAGTAAATGCATTTAGTGTTAGCGGTGTGAATGGGTAGGTGTAACAGGCTCTGCCAGGGACTGGAGTTATTTAAACGTTGCTGATTTAACACTATCAATGTAAGTAAAACCTTCCAACTGACTCTTTCTAATGCAACGGTCGGTCACTTTTATATACTAACGTTACGCTGAGGGTTTAGTTTGGTCTCGCAATGCTAACGCTAACGCTAAAGACCCATACAGGAATACAGCTTGGTGTTTCATCCTCTACATTTAACACTCATTCCGTGCTGTATACATTTGTATTCTCACGATTTATTAAACAGTGGCTTGCTTTGTTCTCTACCGTTGATGCTGTTCCACGTTAGCTTTCCTGGAACTAACGTTAGCCTAACAAGGCACTGTTGGGAAGACACACGTCAGCTCTGAGCTGTTTACTTGTTTCCCGTGTAAATTAAACTATGGTTATTTAGGTTGAGTAACTAATCTACAGTTCGTGACACTGATCAAAGAATCAGCTGTTTGCCCCAGTTTTCTCCTGGGCTTAAGTACCTGAGACTTGGCGACTGTGTACTCTGTCACAAACATATTCCTCCCATTGACCCCATGGATATGTTTCCATGTTTTATGAACATAGGTTACGTAATTGTGGCACATGGCTGTTCCTTGCATTCAATCTCTTTATGAACGCTTCTATTCGACCTTTCAAAGTAGTGCTACATAATGCTGCAACACTGTTACAAGTGCTTTTGCACATCTTACCGGAAATGACTGTAATTTGGCAAGATATCTGCTTCCTATATTGTAAAATACACCCTTATTTTAACATTAGTATTACTGCTTTCATTTAGTTATTTGGATACCTAGTATTAGCAACGTTATCTTCCTGTATGGACCATATAAGTAAACATTACATTATAGTGAAAAACAAACACGAATTTCCCAAGATAAATGGTTGACCAAAAATAATGTCTTTTAGGATAATTAGGATTAAATGAGTCGATTGCAAAAAACATTACCTCCGCAATGTAATTTTATTCAATCAAATCCGTAAAACACACTAAAGGACTTGATCAATGGTTCTTGGATACAGTCATCAAAAAATAACAAATCATCAGCTGTTCCAATGCAATTTGCTCTCAGTATATTGGAATGGTTTGGATGCATTTATGATTAAGTTTAGAGCTGATCAGTGTTTTTGTCCCAGCAGAGAGATGTCTCCCGATGAGCTGGTTTACTTAGGAATCCTCGCTGCCTCCATCCCTGTTGGGTTCCTCTTCCGTTACCTCAGTGAGTATTGTTGGTCAATAGTTTTATTATAACTCATGGTCCTTATTACTGAGTATTTTTAATTCCTAATTCATCTTAAATTGTGTCTTATAAAGGGCTACATTTTGCATTGTGGGACAGGAAGTTATGATTTTCTATTACTCGCATACATGGGGTGGACACAATACAAAAACACTATCATTTTAACATTTTACCAATGAGAAGGGCTGCTCCTCTTCAGCTATAATCCTGCCTACGGTCATATATGTTTTGAAATGTGAATGATGCTGAGAAATTACTTTTTTACCTAGTTCCGGTGTTTGTGTACTCTATTATTTTATAATTGTTGTTATTTGATAACTTTTATTTTTCTTCAGGTCCTCCTGTGAAGCAGGGGGCAGCTCTTCTTCTGGGCCTCTCTGTCGCCATCGTCACCTGTCAGATCCACACGCTCCACTCTCTGGTGACGGTGATTGGAACATGGATTATTATAAAGATCAGCTGGCGGTGAGACATGGGCATAAATGCTTTACAAACATATTTCACTGACACACACACGGCTTATCTTGCTTTACTTACATCCACAAATGTTCAATTTCTCATTACATATGGCCAAAATAAAGTGGTTAATCCTCACAATGGAAAAACAATTAAAAAAATGTTGACCTTTTGGATTGAAACCGAACTTAAACATTTTCATTTTTTAACAGACATATTAAAAAGCCCTCATACATTTTTGTTTGCCTACAAAAGTGACAAAGAGACAATATATTTGCTTTTAGATTATGATGTTAAATATTGATGGGCTTTAGGATAACGACGACCATTGCCAAACCAAAACAGGAAGAGAAAAGTACTTTTATTATAACAAGTAGTTTGCTTGCGATTGCAGTAGATGAGATGCCAGATGGTTGAACAACCAGAGTAACTGTGTAAAGGAAAACATTTATTTTCTCTTGTTTGTAGTTGCTAGGCTCTGAGGAAAACAGACAGTGATCTGATTGTTAATGCCAACTATTATAGAGCTTAGAAACGCCGGTGGGGGAGAAAGTTGTCCAAGCACTTTTACCTACATGATCTCAGATAGAGTAGATATAGACAGCTTCCAGTATATAAATATAAACTGTATTTGTGTACAAATATCATATCTGACAAAAAAATGCATTTGCAAACAACTAAATACATACATTTAATACAAGTCTAATTGATAAAGGACACATTTAAGCTGTAGTGCACAGTACATGCTGATGCACACATGGCACACAACAGGACAATTGCCATATAATGCTACTGTGCAGACGTAAAACGTAAACTCTAACAATACATCTATTTCTGTCCACCAGGCATGCCCCAGCATTGAGTCTCGGCTGGAGCTTCCTCTACCTCCTCTTCTTCCGGCTGGTCACTTGGTTCGGTCTGCCAGCACCGACACCTTTCGCCAACGCCATCCAGCTGCTTCTCACTCTGAAGGTAAAGAAGCCCTGTCAGATCCATCAAAACACACAGTGTTACAGTGTGGGCATCTATGTTGACTCTTATGTATCTTTTACTCAGATGGTGAGTTTAGCAAACGAGGTGAACAGCTTCCACATGGAGAAGAAGAAGGACGTGAGCTCCTTTGCCAAGTCTCCTGTCATTGGTGGTCTGTCTCAGGTGCCCTCCCTCTACGATATGCTGTCCTATAGCTACTGCTATGCCGGTATAATGACGGGTAAGTCTGTGGAAACTTGTTACACTCAGAATCTTCTGTTGGAAAGAGGACGTTGTGTCATGTTGACGTACGTTGTGTCATGTTGAAGTGAACGTTTGTAAACATTATATTTGTGTGTGAGCTATTTTCATGTTGTTCTTATTGCTTTTGCATGAATTTTAACAGTTGTCTCTTTTTGTCTCACCCCCTGCTTCTTGTCCAATATTGTGTGAGTCCATAACGTTATCAGTCTTATTTACAATTTCTTCTGTTTTTTGAAATACCTCTACTTTTTTTTGTTTTCTTACTCCATCTCCTTTCCAACACCACCCTCACTTCTTTCAAAACACACTTTCCTCCACTGTTCCCTTTTGGTTCTTGCATTATCTATATCATCCATTTTTGTCTATCACTGTCTTCACAACACCACCTTTATTCCTTAATCTCATCCCTCCATCTCCCTAAAGGCCCGTTCTTCCGCTTCCAAACGTACGTTGACTGGCTGCAGCAACCGAGCCCGCAGACCCTGCCCGGCTGGGGGCCGTGCCTGCAGCGCCTGAAGCTCGTTCCTCTCTACGGCGCTCTGTTCATCACCGTCAACTCCGTCTTCCCACTCGCCTACGTTCGCACAGACGAGTTCCTGGATGAGAACTTTTTCTTTAGGTATTATTACAATGCAAAACTGCCCTGATAATGTCTTTTAATAAAAGAAACAATGTTAGTTTTATGAGTTTTAGGCTTATTATTTAAGCATCGATGCATACTTTCATGAATCTGCAAAAAACACAGTAATTTAAATGCTATTAAAAGTGTGCTTTATAATATTATATTTGATGTAATGTTAAAAGCAAATTTCATTCACTTTCTCAGACTGGAATAACCCAACAAATGCTCAATACTTATATAAGCTAAACATCTATATACTTAAATGTTGTAGGTAATATTTCAGAATATTTCCTAAATTGTCCTGATTGCACAGTGTCTCTACTTGTGTTGCTGCTGTTGGTCAGAGAACTGCAAATAAAACGAGACAAATCAATGAAAGTAAAGCATAGCTTTGGTGAGCTAAATAAATATATTGTTTGCTTTAAAGATAATAATGGAGGTCCTGGTAGTGCTTTAGTGTTGAATGTCTTTGTTATATCGCGGCTGTTTTTTGGTACTGAGATGAACAATGTACTCTTCTCTCTCTAACACCAGGTATTTCTACATGGTAGCAGTGTTCTTCGTGTTCAGGATGCGTTTCTATGCAGCGTGGTGTGGAGCTGAGGCTGGTTTTATCACTGCAGGTCTGGGCTGCTATCCAGAAAAGGCGCTGTCCAAACCTGGAGGAGGACCCACTGTCAACTACAGGTACTTCATCACTGGCCAACAAGTATATAAAAAGAGGATGCATCAATATGTGTGTATGTAGTAAATTGTAATTGCATTGCTGTTAAAAATCTTGGTCTGTAAAGAGTTTATTGTTTTTCCCTCTTTGCCAGTCCTGACCCCAGCGCAGACGAGACGTATGACTTCAAAACCATCCAGAACATCGACTGCTACAACACGGACTTCTGTGTGAAGGTCCGCCACGGCATGCGTTACTGGAACATGACGGTGCAGTGGTGGCTGCATCACTACATCTACCCCAACGCCCCCTTCAGGGCCTACGCCCTCAGGTAAGGCCTTACGTGTGCAGCAGGTTCTGCTTATATCACAGGCATGAACCCCCAAACCCATTTTGTTTTGGCATTAAAATGCATTTATTTGAATTGTGCAAGGATATAGCTTCTTAAATGAGAGGTAGTAGCAAGCGTCATCATATTTTATAACATATTTTCTAGTTATTCCCTCATTTCTAACCAGCTTTAATCTTTCATTTATAATCTTTTTGCAGCGATGTCTGTGAAGCTCCCCTATTTTAGACAAACATATTTTATTTCATTTGACTTCTTAAGTCAAGTTAAGTAGGGCTGGGAGATATGGTCAAAATCTTCTGTCCTGATAAGGGTCATTTCATATCTTAATACTGAGATATATTAAAAAATATAGCATGTTTTCTGGTAAATCAATATTTTATATAAAATAATCACGTGGTAACGCTTATTTTTTGTATACTTCTATAATATTTAAATACATGACAAATGAAAAGTATTAAATAGTGTCTTATTTCATGGAAAAATTGCATGCAAAAAATACATGATGTCACCAGACGTATCATTTAAATCTCATTTTATTAGTTACAAGTTCTTCTATGTTTATTACCTGGAAGACAGATGACATGAAGTGACTATTTATTGTCTCACCACTCACTGAAACTGCCCTCATTACCACAAACAAACCTAAATGTGCCCCGGCATCTTTTTAATTATCTGAAATCCCTGAAGTGACGGTAGACAGAAACCCTCACAGTCTTTTTGACTCTAACCTCTCTCCTGTTTGTCTGTACCTCTCAGGGCCGGCTGGACCATGTTCATCAGCGCATACTGGCATGGACTTCATGTGGGCTACTACCTCTCCTTCCTCACCATCCCTCTGTGCATCGCAGCCGAGTCGGCCATGGAGTCGTCGGTCCGAGTTAGACTGGGTCCGTCTGGCCAGAAAATCTTCGACTGGGTTCACTGGTTCTTGAAGATGAGGTCGTACGACTACATGTGCATGGGCTTCGTGCTGCTCAAGGCCTCTGACACCATCCACTACTGGACGTCCATCTACTTCAGCATGCACATCATCGCCATCGCCTGTATCATCATCGGCAGGGTTCTGAAGGGAGGGAAAAAGGAAGGAAGGAGAGTTGAAAAAGAGGACAAAAAAGAGGGAGAGAAGGTTGAAAATGTAACAACGGGAGAGAAAACAGACTAAATGGAGGTACAGAAAAAACAGGTTGGATATTTTTTGAGACATGACAAAGGGTCACTGCAGGATTTTCCAACATCCATTGCATCAACACTCATCTTACAAGCAACAAACCTCAAACAAAAATGTCATAGAAAATGCAGTAGATTAGAAGAGAGTGTGACAGGTTAGAACTGGTCGAATACTTATTATGTGCATATAAGTACTGTGAATACTGGGAGAGGAATGTTTGAGCTCAATGAATGTTACTTTTGTATTGTGAGTGGTAATCGGGGTGTGGAAAGTTTATTCATTCCTCATCCGAGCGCCTGTCTGTACAGTAAATGTGCTTTTGTTTCACAATACCATTCCGAGTTTAAGTGAACTGTAATGCTGGTCAAAATAGGGGTTGTTGAAATGGCAAGATGTTGTTTTAAAAACATTCAGTAGGGCGAAGCAAACAATAACCAAACAAGCCTCGTAAGGTCGTATAAATATTTAAAAGAGGAGAGATTAAATGTAATTAAACGTAGTTTCCATAACCAACATAACATTCCAGCAGCACTCAGTTACACAACGTTTGTATTGGAGTACAGCATGGAAAGATCTTGATGGGAAAAAAATGACATTATATGTCTTGTATAAGCTTTCTGATTTATTTATTTTGAGGAACAAAATAATGGCTTCCTAAATCATCACAATGACAGTTTTTTATCTCAAAAAAATGATGTTGTTGTGATACAATGTTAAACTTACTGTGCATCCCCTGCAGACTACAATTGTATTGCTGCCTGGTTACTTACAACTTCTATAAGTGTTTAAGATTTTTGTTTCCAGCATTATAATGTTCATCATTTTATTGCCTGATCCTTGAGAATTTAAAATGTATTTTTCCTCAGTGTTTTTCTGCCTGTAACTGTGAGCATATCAGGAGCATCTGCACGGACATCTCAAGTGTCTGCTAATGAGTGTTTGTAAGATAGCAACACTGCCAAAATGTCTGGACTGCCATCGTGGACCATTCAGGGTTGGGACCAAACATTTAATACAACACGTTTTCACATAATAACTATTAGCTGCCAACGTAGATCATGAATAACAGCACAGCTAGGGCTGGGCGATACATTTGAAATCATCTTCACAGCGATGACTAGAGAGGCATTCGCAGAGCTCAGGCCTCGGGCCAGACCATTTGCAGAACGGGAAAAGAAAACTGTCCGCTTGGTGATACTGATCTGCTCCAACATTTAATGGGTTCTTTCTTGGCACATGCTACCACTAGTTTCCCCCTAATCTTACTGTCAAATCACCAAACCGAACCGAAAACAATGTCTCTATTGATATACGGCACCATATGAAAACTGTATGCAAACTATATGTAAAATAGCCCAAAAGCAGAATTGTTTAGAAAGATCAGAATCTATGGTTATATTTTCACAATTCACAGCTGATAAATGAAGATATTGTTTTATCGCCCGGCCCTAACCTCGATAAACTGCGAACAAGTTGGAAAATATGTTGAGTTGTTTCACTCACTCCTGTCTCAAACTGTGTGACCACTACTGTGTCTTTGTTTTATATGTGCATGTCTGAAAGCAGAGTAGAAAAACATCTTATCTCCTAATGTCATTTTGTTCTCCACATGTTACCTGTAACTGATTTGATTTACAGATGTATTTTGAGTCTTGCCTTTACCCTTTATGTGCCAAAACCTTTTTTTTCTCTCTTGCACACAGATGATTGTGATTTGTAGTCCTTCTATTGCTCGCTCACCTCCAGCATATTTATTTAAGCCTTTTGTCTCTTTTCTTTAGCCTCACAAACTGCACCTGCTGCACTCCCTGCTCTGTGACGCTGTAACTTGTGAAATACATATCAGCATTTCCTCCACAATGCTAATGTCTTGCCTTTTCTTTCTTGAAAGTCTATGTTATGTGATTATCTGTGAAGTATTTGTCAGTTCATAAGTACCTTGTGTTGTCAGTGAGATAGATCGAGTAGAAAAGGCTTTTATACATCACTTTTTTCTCATCTGTCAGAATGGAAATCATTAACTCTCCGGCATGACGGAAAACACCAACACGCCTCTTAGTTACATCACAACAGTGTCCCAGTGCTTTCTTTGAGCTATGAGGAATTAGCTCAAATATAATTTATAGTATTAACATATACATAAATACAGTTATTATTATCATGAACACATATTTAGGATAAACTGAATTTGTTCCCATCACTGCAGACAATTAAAATGCATCAAACTAATTCCTGAATTGCACAAAAAAACACTTTTCTAAAGTCTTTAATTACATAAATTAGTTTAAGTGTATCTTGTTTTCTTGATGTATTCTTATTGTCTTTTGGCTGGTTATTAGACCACGCACATTATAAATGAATGGTGACTGTTTCCTTGGTAATAATGGGTTAAGTTACACAAGGAAGTACCTGTGGTCATTTACAAAGGGAGCAAAGTCCGTGAGAGAAGACAACAGTGAAGGGCTTCCTGGTTAGGCAGCATTTCCTCATGAGGAGCTGCTTCACCATCTGTTTTATTTTGGATTTGTTGCTGGTTTAGAATTAGATGTGTTTCCAGAGGACAGTATTTAAAGCTTGTGTTAAGCTGCATCAGAGAAATGTCCAGTGAACCACAGAGACCAGGCTCCAGAGAGGTGCATGACTATACTGAAGGTGTGTTTTTTCTTTCCTCTGATCTCATTACTCTCCTACTTGTTTGTTCATTTTAAAACCTGATCATTTAAATCAATGTCTGAATCGACTGAATTTCTAACGGTCTCTGATGATGAGAAATCATCTTTGAATCTTGTTGAATTGTGTTGACAAATGTTGCTTATATTATTGTTCGCTGTTTTTCTACCCTCACCACTCTTAGAGTATGGTTACCACAGTGACCAGCAGTCACTAAGGTTAAGACGGGGTCCGTCTCGAGTGTCCAATCAGAATCAGCCTCAGTTCGACTGGAGCTCGCCCCATGAAGAGGAGGATGAAGAGGGCAGCAGTGGACCGCCTCGAGACCTCAGAGCCACTCCTCTGCCCATGGCTCTGAAACGAGCTATAAGGTAAAAAAAACTAAGAAAAACTGCTTTAAATGTATTTAAATATTTCTTGTTGTGCAAACTATTCATTCATACTTATGTGAATATGAATTATATGTGGCTGCTATGTCAGAAGTACAACTGTTCACAGTAAATCAAACAAACGAACACAATTACAAGTCATGACATCGTGTACATGCACACAGAGAGGAATCTTCAAAAAGATATTTAAAAAAAACCTTAACAGATATAAATGAATCAGTAGTAGCAGTACCTTATCACGTCGTTGTTGTTCAGTCAATACACTTTCATTTATCTTTTTTGCCTGATGTTACAAAATCTTCTCATGTACAAGTCTTAATCTGAGATTTAAGGTGATCATAGAAACATGTTCATCCTCACTCTGTCTACCTTCGTAGCAATTGTCTTTCTTCCTTAAACCAGTAAACACAAAAAAAGGGTTTTTCCATTTAGAAATGTAATAAAGCCCCCCAAGCAGTCGCTTTTCTGTTTACTGGTTTAAGAAAGAAAGACAATTTAATCGAAGTTGCACAGACGGACTACATATTTTAAGTGAAGAGGAAGCTTTAATATCTAAATATTACACATCTAAATATGAATGTGACAGAATAGATAGATAGATAGATAGATAGTTGGATAGATAGATAGATAGATAGATAGATAGATAGATGGATGGATAGATAGATAGATAGATAGATAGATAGATAGATAGATAGATAGATAGATAGATAGATAGATAGATAGATAGATAGATGGATATATAGATATATAGATTGATAGATAGATAGATAGATAGATAGGTGCATATATAGTTCCACATAAACAAAAACCAAATCCATATTTGTCCATCAGATTTTTTTACAGACCAATTAATTAAAAGACTATCATATTTATCACACAACACTTTCTTAATTTTACTGCAACTTTGCCTTTGCAGGCAGGTGCAGCAAATGCAGGTGCCTGTGGTTTCCAGCAGGGATTCGTGGAAACGGAAAAATGCCAAATCTCTGCGTAAACTCAAAGACAGCGGCATGGGATTCCTCTCCTTTTTCTCTCTGTGGAGCAAGACTTTGCAAAAGATCGGAGGTAAACAATTTACCTTTTATTTCAGGACTACAGATAACTCGAACTTACTTCCTGCACAATATGGTTAAATGTTGTTGTTATGTTACATACTTTATAATTGTGTTTATTTAATTAGTTACATTTACATCAGCAATACAGATTTGTACATATATATCATGACCCTTTGGCCCCACAGGGAACTTCGGAGGTGGTGTCCAGTCCTACTTCCTGTTCCTGCGGTTCTTGGTGGTGCTCAATTTTGTTTCCTTTTTACTGATTGCTGGATTTGTCCTCGTCCCCAGCATCGTCTTCAGATCCGTCGGGGCCGCACTTGTTAACAGCACAGGTAAAGACTCGTTCAGGCTGCAGATGGCTCAAAACATTTCATTTTGTATTTACTCCAGGGGGTAATACATGTCAGTGGTAAATGATCTTTTCAGGGTCCTTAATTTCCCCTTATTTCCTGACAATGAGGCACACATTTCTTATATACACGGGAAGCCTTCTCACAGTTTGATGCAACAGTTTCCAGGCAACAGAGGCTCAGAGGCGGCAGTGCGGTAAATGTAGAGAGAAAGTACCAGCAGCTGCATTCCCCTCAGGAAAAGAAATGATGTCAGCGGTGCAATCGCAGAAGATCTATTCTCAAAACAAAACGTAAATACAAATGTGATTGGTTCATTTGCTAATGTTTTACATTATGCACAGTCAAAGATTCACTCTCCAGCATTAAAGTAGTTTTATTATTTTGGCCCTCAGTCATTGTTCCAAGGAAATGTGACATAATTAAAACCCTTGGATTCTTTAAAGCTATCTGAGGAAAGTAGCTGTATCTAATTGGCAGTTTGATGGCAGAGCCACAGGAGAGCATGTCGCAGCTTTCCCTCTCACTGTTTTCTCTTTATGTAAGTACTAAACGTTAGGAAAGCATAACCTACATGTTCAGAAAGGTTCGGGGAAACCTATAGAAATTCTATGATCTGTGAGAATGTATGCAGAAATAGTCAAGCTTTCCTTTTTCTGTGTTTTCCAGGTCAAGGGGCATGCATGGTTTATGATCCTAATCCTGAAGGCCTGGTGGTGTTCTATAATTACTTCCTTTACTTACTTTCAGGAACGGTGAGAAACTGCTGCATCACATTGACCTTCAAAGATATGAGACACGCAGAAACTAATGTGAAACTGATACTAATTGATTAACTGATATGATATTAGTGGTTGTCATAATTGGTCATTAAGATTTTGTACACCTTTAGCTTTTGAAATCTCCAACACAGAACTGTGGCCAGGATTTAAAGATACTGAGTTCCTACATTTTGAGCAGCAACAATAAAATGGACTAATTGATCATCAAACAATCAACACAACTTAATTTGAGTGACAGTGACCGTCCTGTGATCTGTGTTCAGGGTTTCATGGAGTATTCATACCTGTTTTATGGCTACTACAACAACACAATGGTGGAGGACCAGAACTTCTCCTACAACATCCCGCTGGCCTACCTCTTCACCGCTGTCTTCTACTTTGTCTTCTGCCTCATTTGTATCATAGCGAGGTCAGTCCCAGAACAAACACATTCAATAAATCAAGATGCAGCCTGTACAATGTGTGTATGCATGGTTGGATTATGAGACAAATGCAAAAGCCTCAGCCACCTCTGAGGAGCAAAACACACTTTATAGTTAGTAGTTTTGCCCCTTTGGGTAGTCATTTTGAGTCTCTCTATAGTTACTTGTCTCTTTATAGTCTATTTGTGGTCATGTTGAAGTTGTTTAATGTCTCTATGTAGTTTATTTGTGGTCAGTTTGAGTGTCTTTGTTGTTATTTTGTGTCTTTGTAGTGATTTTGTGTCTCTTTTTAGTTGTTTTGAGCCTTTTCCAGGCTAGTAGATGTATTTTTGAGTTACATTTTAAATGTCACTCTCAGCCATCTCATTAAGGGGTTCAGTTCAATATGTTAACATGACCAGAGTGACCTTGAAAAGCGTGAGTTGAGAGTTCAATCCCCTCGACCCTCTGCATCTGTTTCTTGCTGCTTATGCACTTTCATGCAGGATGGGGACTGCTGCTCGAGTTGTCGTGGCAACGGGAAGCAGCACCGTGGGCGACTACAGCATGATCGTGTTCACCAGCTGGGACTACGGTTGCCTGGGAGACCGAGCTACCAAACTGAAGCAGCAGAACATCCACTACCAGCTGCAGGTCAGAGGGGAGCTGTCCCACTTAGCGGGATGGAGGAATGTGATGTTCTCTCTGCATAATCATTCCCCGAGGTGCTTTCACACGGCCCCTCATCTCTCCTCTTTTCTCAGGTGGATCTGGAGGAGGAGAGCATAAAGAAAAGGGCAGCCGCTCTGACTTTATCTCAGAAAATTGTCTTATACTCTCTACGTGTTTCTATGTGTTTTGTTTCATTTGGGCTCATTATAGCAGCCTTCTATGGCATCTTTGCGGCCACCGAGTTCAGCCAGGTAAATGAAGTCAAACACAAGAATAATTCTGTTCATTGTCTTCAGTCTGAAAGTGTTTGGTGACCTTTTTGGTCTCCATCTCATTGCCAAACAGGTAAAGAGTGGGCAGGGCCAGGGAGGGATCCTGGGTTTGTTTTTTGAGTATCTGCCTTCCATCGTCATCACCGCCGGAAACTTTGTGGTGCCGCTGCTGTGTGACCAGATCGCCCTGATAGAGCGATACTCCCCCAGCACCACCGTCATAGTGGCACTGTTACGGTTCGCACTGGTTTTTCTGTTCGAGAGAG